AGCCCTACCCCAAAAATAAGACCTAGTGATGGGCGTGGCTATCCAGCATATCTGCACAATCCGTGCAGTTTGTCACAGAGCGGTAAAGAAGATAGATGAGCAGCTTCTCATCTGCCCCATGAGAACTCTATTGCTCGACACAAGAGATTGGGGCCAATGGTTCTAAAGGAAATAGTCGCAAGAAATTCAGGATGGAATTCGGTGTTTGGAGAGTTATGATGATGTTCCAGAAGAAGACGACTTAACTATATTTGAATAAATGTAGATTATTGTACCATACTTAAAGTCAGGAATTCGAAACCAGCCTGAGCAAGAGCGATACCCCGTCTCTACTATAAATAGAAAGAAATTAATTGGCCAACTAATACATATATAGAAAAAATTAGCCGGGCATGGTGGCACATGCCTATAGTCCCAGCTACTTGGGAGGCTGAGGCAGGAGGATTGCTTGAGCCCAGGAGTTTGAGGTTGCTGTGAGCTAGGCTGACGCCACAGCACTCACTCTAGCCTGGGCAACAAAGTGAGACTCTGTCTCAAAAGAAGAAAAAAAAAAGTTAAGTTTTGGCATCAGCATTAAGTGAAAATCTTTAAGATTTCCATTCTCAATCTATTTTTCAGTTTAGATTTTAGCAAAATTATTACACCTTATATCAAAGTGTTATACACTTGACACCATAATCCAATAGAACACTTACTACTAATATTTATAATAAAAATAAGAAAAAGCCCATTGTAGAACAGCTCGTGAACTGCAAATAATAAATGAATAAGAGAAAAAAGAAAAAGCCCATAGCTCAGAAAAAGGGGCAAGTAACAATTTTTTGTTTTTATAACAACTTACTCAAAACTCAAGATTTTATTGCATTCAAAATGTTTTATAATAGTGGTAGATCAACTATAATGAAAGCATATACAAAATTTAAAATATAATCCTCTATTTTTAAAATATAAAATTCCAATCCCATTTTAAAAATTACATATTTTAAAAACTCTGCAAGACATTTGCTTAGATACCACTTACCCTATAATAAAACCGGGGAATGGTCTTATAGAATTCATTTGTGTTTTTTCTACCTCCTTTCCATTCTGAATAGTATTTGGTAAATAAATCCATTTCTTCATCTTTTAATTCTTGTTCACTTTTTTTTTCTGGTAATAAAACAGATTAAGGTGAGAAAAGCACTTTTAAAATCAAGCAATACTTTTACTCAAATCATCCTATATACTATAGTCTAACTAAAATAGCTGCAGTGCCAAAAAGGCCTTCACAATTGTCCTTAGACCCTGAACATCATATTAACTTGAAACTACCAAGGATCACTATTTTCCACTGAATCAGCCTTCCCTACATCTTCAACCACTTCTGAGCATGCTCCCTCTACTTCTGTTTATCATTAAAGATAGTCTCTTAAGTTACTGCCTCTCCTACAGACCTCTGGAATGTTCCTAATTCATTCAATCAAAAATATTTACTGAGTACTTTCTATGTACAGGGCACTGTACTAGACACTGGCACCAGAGGGGTGAGCAAAACGGCCCCCGCCTCTGACTTCATGGAGTTTCAGCCTCATAATCACTGTTCCTTTACCTAATGTTAAAACAAAACAAAACAAAAAAAAAACCTCCTCTGTCTGAAGCTCACGACTGACGGATCTATTACCCTCCAACCTACCTACTATTGGGATGTAGCTGTCTCATTCAGCTATTATTCCACACTTACTAGTATTTGTGGGCCACAGTGACTGGTGCACAACATTCTTCACAAGGCCCTGGTATCATCCATGACAAATAAACATTTATGTGGGTTACCATGAACCCTGCAACTCTGAAGGTTTTCATCTCTACTTCACTCTGCCACTCACTTCTATAGCATGACCACAGATCTTATTTGCTCCTCTTCTGAAATCTTAAGCTCTGATACACTGTCAGATTATCCTTTCTGGTTATTCAAAACCTCACTGCCATAATACTTGCACTTTAGCCTCACTGAGATCTTGAATTCTATGATCTGTTTTCTCAAAAGTTTATTTTCCTTTCTGCTCTCACTTCCAATAAGCCTGTAGTTGTTTACCTGAATTCCTTCTAGGACTGCATTTCTGCCATGTTAATTTTTAACCTTGGACCAAACCTATAATTTAATTTCTTTACTATGGCTCAATGATGTTGGCGAAAACTGCAAAATTTTATAAGTAAAAAGAGGACTGACAACTGACCATTGTATTTAACAATATGGAAGTCACTGATGATTCTGGAAAAGCAGGAATTAGAGACAAGTAGAGATTTAATCAACAACTCTTTTAACAAATATTATAAGGGGAACAGAAAAATGAGGCATTAACTAGAGGTGGAAATTAAGTCAAGAAAGTTTAAGATGGGATAAATACTAGCATGTTTATATACTGATGGAAATGATTAAGAAAGAAAAATTGATGATGCAGGACAGGGGACAATTGCAAGAGAAGGCAAAAATGGGATCTAACACAAAGGATGGGATCTAGTACACCAATAAAGGAAAACAGCCTAAAACAGGAGCTGTACGACCTATATAATTTAGTTATTCTCCCCACACTAAATAGTAAGTTTTACAAGGACAGGGATATTTTTGTCTGTTTTAATCACTGCTAAAGCCTAGAACAGTACTTGGCACATAACTGGCATGCGATAAATATGTGTGAAAGAATAGAGTGGGTTCAAGAGCTAAGGGGTGAAGAAGGCAGAGAATGCACAAGTACAGATAACTTCTTTGAAAAGTTTTCCTATAAAGTGTGCAGAGAAAGGTACCGTGTTACCCCGAAAATAAGACCTACCCAAAAAATAAGCCCTAGCTGGATTTCTAAGCATTTGTGCAATATAAGGCCTACCCGGAAAATAAGACCTAGTGATGGGCGTGGCTACACAGCCTATCTGCACAACCCATGCATTTCATCGTGGAGCGGTAAAGACCAGGAACAGCCCTTCTCATCTGCCCCATCGTGACAGCTACTATCCCAGAGGTGACCGGAAAGGTGCGGGCAGCCCCACCAACAAGCTTGGCTCCCCCCTGTCAGGTCCTCGCCATCCTGTGCGTGCTGCAAGCTGAGGCTTTGAGGGGAAAGTCTCCTCGGTGAAGTGAAGAGTGGGACACTCTGCTTTAGGTATTGTGTGTCCCCAGGGGGAAGAAAGAAAATTGTGGCTGCCATTTTACTATGATGATGTTCCAGAAGACGACTTAACTATATTTGAATAAATGTAGATTGTTGTACTGTACTTAAAAAAAGATAACACATCCCCTGAAAATAAGCCCTAGAGTGTCTTCTTGAGGAAAACTAAATATAAGACACTTATTTTTGGGGAAACACGGTAGCAGAAGCTGGAGGGGGATGTGGGATCAATGTGATTTTTTTTTAAGATGGGGGATATTACAGCATGCTTGTCAGTACTCATGAAAATGATCCAACAGAGTAGTAAAATTTGATGATGTATGAGAGGACAAGGCTGGAGTGAAGTCAGTGCATATAAGAAAGGGAATGTGATCTAGTGCTGGAGTGGAGGGACTCTTAAATAGGAGCATGGACACTCATTTTGACAGCCAAGGCAGAGTGTATGGACAACCATGGGGGTGGGAGACTGATAGAAATGGTAAATGAGGACAGGCAAGGTTCTTCTTTGACTGCTTCTACATTCTCAATGAGATAAACATTCAAAAACAAACAAGTTCAGCTGAAGGTAAGGAGTGGGTAGGCCAGATGGTAAGTTTGGGAGATGAAAATTGAGTGTAGAAGAGAGAATGTCTAGAGAAACATGGTTGACGAGACCAAAACGCCTACTTTAGGTTAGTTGACATGAATTAAAAGTGAGACAACTCACCAAGGTTCTGTTTTTCTCCAGCCACTTTCAGGAGCTCTGTGTGTGGATGTGAGATAGGAAAGATAGATTTAACCAAGTTGGTTAACAAGCAAGTATGAAGGAGGGAAGAAACAAGGAAAAATTGATTATGAAATCTAAAATGGATTAGCAAGGAAGCGAAAAGTCTGACAGTAAAAAGGCAGGCAGTAGGATCAATGAGGTCCTGATGGGGTCGAAGACTTGCTGGAGTCAGGGTTCTCAGATATTCCTCACAAGTCTAGCTCAAGACCACGGAAGTCAGTGACTAAGGCTAAGCTTTTCGTTCCTGTAGGTTCTTTCTTAGGTAAATTTGGGTTGAACCTCTCTGGATCCCCAAACCACGTTTCACTCCGCTTCCTTTGTCAGCAGCCGTCTTTTACAGAAGCCGAAAGTGTGGCTCCCGATTGCTCCTCCTCCCCACTCTCCCCCAACCTCTAGGAGTTTAGGGCCGGGCTATCCCAACGAGCAGCCCCTCCCAAACTCACTGTTTGGACCGGTGTTGGGCGTAGCTAAGCGCCGGCGAAGAACTTCTTTCCAGTCCATGGCCGACTCCCGCGCAGCAGCGCTTGCATTTGCTGTTTACTAACCGCTCCGCCCCTACCCGTTCAGACGTCAGACGCCGGTAAGCCCCGTAGAGGTTAGGAAGGCTGCCCAATCGCCATGTTGGACATGGGCGGAAGTCCCCGCTAAAGAGGCAAAAACCGGACCTATCGCGGAGGATGCGGCGACCACGCTGGCAGGAAAAGCAGACGAGAAAGATACGGAAAATGGTGTCCCAGGCTTACCAAGCCCGATTTTAAATACCAGGATAAGGAGGTCCGCATTTTTATTTCTCCATCGTGGGCCTCTGGCGCGTGTACATCACGTGACTCAGTAGTCCACTCTAGTTTCCGGCTTGAGGGAAGCGCTTTCTTCTTTCACAAATTGTTTTCATTGTTCACTGCGGAAATCTGGTGGACCTCAAGGTCCACTGAATATACCAGACGCCTCAGCAGCTGTCTCTTACCCCTTCGGCCACTAAATGGTTCAAAATTGCCTTTTTTCCTCGCCGCTAGGCCCAGTGGAACGCCTGGGTCCAGGTCAGTCTCGCCCCGGCGGCCAGGACCAGCGCGGTGCATTGTGGGCACTGTAGTTTCCGCCGCGTTCCTGGTCGCGTGAGTACTGCCTGAATGCTGTGGTGAGTTCCTGAATGAAGTGAACTTCGTTTGTAAGCAATCGGTACATAGTCAAGGCAGCCCCCTTCTTGGACTTCTCTTCCTTACCTGAGTTTGCGCAGCTGACTCCCTACTTCCCCCACTCCCATTCCCCATCTGTCGAGTTTTGCCGCTTGGGAGGGTTATGTAGGGCGAGGGCCCCTAAATTTGGCTTTCGCCGCTGTGGTTGATGGTTGGTAGGGGTTGGCGGCTCCTGGTCGCGGTTTTTACTTTACACGCCTTTTCCAGGAAGCCTCCATGGGATCCTGCCCCATTTCGGTATAGTTGTGATCCACGTGAGTAGAACTGGCTGTTCTCCTTGTCCCTTTTCCTCAGATTCATGGACTGGAGTATAACAGACACTAGAGGATTCCTGCTGTGTCCCCTGGTTTGGAGCCTGCGACGTTGGATATCCCGGGATCGTTGTTTTATAGAGAGAACTCATCCGCCTTCGTTGCTATTAAGTAGTCTCAAAAGCAGCACCCAGTTTGTCTGTAAGGAAGAAATGAAATCTCGTTTTTAAAAGTTGCACTTCTATTCTCCGGCCCCGATCTCCAATCCCTTAATTTTGCTGGACAAGTAGGGATTTTTCCAAACATCTGTCTCATAATCTGGTGCTGATCTTACTGCATAATGACTTTCTATTTGTCTGGTATTGGAAGCTTTCCTAAGCTTTGGAAGAGCAACCCGGTATGGCTAGGCCCAGGGCACTCTTACCTGTCTCTCTTTCTCACAGACTTCTGTGGCATCGGGAACCAACAAAGGTGGTTTTCTCTTAAAACAATGTCTCCACAAAATACCAAAGCAACGGATCTGCTAATTGCCAAGGCCAGATATCTCAGGAAAGATGAAGGCAGTAAGAAGCAAGTTTCCTCTGATCCTTCTCATTTTTTTTTAGCTGGAGCAGCTAAGAAGAGATCGCAGATGAATTCTCAGAGAAAAGATCATGCCTTGCCACCTGTAAAGAACACTATTCAACTCCCAACGAAACCTTTGAATTCAAAGGAGTGGGATAAACTTAAGGAAGATTTCAAAGGAAAGGTCAATTTTGAAAGTTGGATCAGTTCACAGATGGCTCACTCTCATAGCTCTGTAGATGTGGCTAAATCTCTGCTAGCATGGGTAGCAGCAAAAAACAATGGTATTGTAGGCTATAATTTACTGGTGAAGTATTTGCATCTGTCTGTCTTTCATAAGCAGACATCAGAAGTGATTGATGTCTATGAAATCATGAAAGCCAGATATAAGAGCTTAGAACCTGAAGCATATACTCTTCTCATCCGGGGATTAATCCATTCAGACAGATGGAGAGAGGCCTTGCTGCTGTTACAGGACATCAAAAAAGTCATGACCCCTTCAAGAAAGAACTATAATGACTGTATCCAGGGAGCCCTCCTTCATCAAGATGTAAACATGGCCTGGAATTTGTATCAGGAATTGCTAGCTCATGATCTCGTTCCTCTGTTGGAAACTTTAAAAGCCTTCTTTGATGTTGGAAAAGACGTAAAGGATGATCACTATTCAAACAAACTAGTAGACATTCTTTTGTATCTAAGAAATAATCACCTATATCCTGGGGAGTCATTTGCACACAGTATAAAAACATGGTTTGAAAGGTAATTTTGATTTTTCTTTATCTGTATTTATTTTAATAAATATATCTACAAGTAGCTTTTTTGTTGTTGTTTCTGAGAATCATTTTATGCAGATTATACTTTTTTAGTAAAATTTGTTTCCTCTTTAAATTTTCTTTCCTTAAAAATGTAGTAGCATGAATAATTTGTGCTAATCTCCACCCATCACATAAAAAGGAAATTCTAGAGCACTTGTAGTTCTTATGTATCTTTTACCTTTTAGAAGGATCATTTATTTTGTTTTCTTAGGCATTAAGTAAGATGTTGAGTACTGGCCGGGTGTGGTAGCTCACGCCTATAAGCCTAGCACTCTGGGAGGCCCAAGTGGAAGGATTGTTCAAGGTCAGGAGTTCCAGACCAGCCTGAGCAAGAGTGAGACCCCCATATGTACTATCATTTAGAAAGAAATTAATTGGCCAACTAAAAACATATAGAAAAAATTAGCTAGGCATGGTGGTCCCCGCTACTTGGGAGGCTGAGGCAGAAGGATTGCTTGAGCCCAGGAGTTTGAGGTTGCTGTGAGGTATGCTGCCACCATGGCACTCTAGCCCAGACAACAGAGTGAGACTCTGCCTCAAAAAAAAAAGAACAGATGTTGAGTATTTATGAATAGTACCTATGGCCTGAGTACATAGCAAGAAAAGGATATAGTATTTGACTAGAACTGTTCTTGGGCCATTATTAGAATTTTTGGAAGTTCCTCTGAAATCTAGTGACTAGGATATAATGTGCTTATATTTGTTCTGTCTAATCTCTGTTATTGCATCAGCTTGCATGGTAAGAGTGCAGAGGGGGGATCCTGACCAAGCCTGATATGCAAACATTAAAAAGGAAAATCCTAGGCCGGGCTCGGTGTCTCACGCCTGTAATCCTAGCACTCTGGGAGGCCGAGGCAGGCGGATTGCTCAAGGTCAGGAGTTCAAAACCAGCCTGAGCGAGACCCTGTCTCTACCATAAAAAATAGAAAAAAATTAATTGGCCAACTAATATATATAATATAAAAATCAGCCGGGCATGGTGGCTCGTGCCTGTAGTCCCAGCTACTCGGGAGGCTGAGGCAGGAGGATCGCTTGAGCCCAGGAGTTTGAGGTTGCTGTGAGCTAGGCTGACACCACGGCACTCATTCTAGCCTAGGCAAGAAAGCGAGACTCTGTCTCAAAAAAAAAAAAAGGAAAATCCTCATCCTACTAGTTTGTTTTGGATTTTTCCGTAATTTGGTTGCTCTCTCTCCAAAGCTCTCACCTTTGCTTTCTCTTTGATTTTATATATGTTACTGGCTATACACCTGTTTATTGCTTCAGTCTGTTCCTCTTATTTCTTCATTAATTTGCTTCAGACCCTTTCCTAAAACTTCATTTCTTCCTTCTGATTTACTCTTGCCTTTTTATTCTATATCATGTATACAGAACTTTGTGTAGCAGTTATGCTTAATTGTCTTAGCAAACTTACTGAACAGCAACAGAGGAGGAACCAGGTAAAAATCTTTGAATCACAAAAGTTTGGATTTTATTCTTTCATCAGGAATGCTGGTTTTGGATTTTATTCTTTTATCAAGAGTGGTGGTTTTGGAATTTTAGAAAGGTAATTGCCAAAACAGTGAGAAGAATAGATTGGAAGGAGGGAAGGCAAAAGAATCAATAGGATTGAGGGCAATATATGTTAGAGGAAGGAGGAAAGGATAAATTAATGAACAAATAAATCAATAAATAGTTTTTAAATGCCTCCAATTAGACTAGGCATTGTGCTTACATTTTGTGATGTAAGATCTATTATGACACTCTCAATTTAATGGGGGATACCAGACAATTAAAGAACAGTGGTATACAAGATGATAGTATAAGAGAAGAGAGAAATTATTCCAAGCAGGAGCAATCTCTGGCTACTTTCTGGAGAAGGTTAGAGTTGAGTTTGATTTAGAAGTTTCAGTAGATCAGCTGCTTTCTGTACAGCTCCAGTGAAGGTCGGTTTAGACTTGCAGATGAGGGTCAGGTGGCCAGAGAAGAACTGAAGGGAAGAAAGACATTCAGAGTAGGGTACCATCAGCTTCTTAGCCCATCACAGGGTAGCAACTATTCTACTAAATAAACCATTCTAGGGAAGTATCTTGAACTTTGCAGAGCTCTTGCCTACAGAGTTTGTTAATACAATGATTTATCTTTAGGTTCAGTAGGAATCTAACCTGATGATTATTTGCTTTTGCAATCTTTGTAGTGTTCCTGGGCAACAATGGAAAGGACAATTCACCACAATCCAGAAAAGGTAAAAGCCAATATTTATTTTAAGTTGTTTGATTCAAATTTAGTAAGTTTTGTTGCTATTGATTAAAAAATATTTAAGAAAACCTGAGGGGCAGGATAATTAAGAGTTTATAATTAGAGTACCTGAACAAAAAACACATTTTACATACAGAGACTTTGCAGTGATCAAAATGATATTCCTGTAAGTACTGTGAGCCTTTGTGAAGCCTTAGAGATGTTTTCCCCTAAACATTTGGGACCCAATTGTGTTTTAGGAATTACTTTAAAAATTTCATCTGGATACCCAACAGTCTACTCTTTTGGGATTTCTTACACACTTATGTGTGATATTATTAGTTTTACAAAAATCAGATGCATGTGATGATCACAAAGATTTTAATGTTCTTTTTTATTACCTTTTAATTTCCTTGTGTCCTGGGATTATTCATTTTAGAAAAAGGACACTATGTAACAAACATTTTTCCAGGCCATTATGTAACATAAACAATTATAATTACAGTGGTCAGTGTTCGGGGTGTGGAAAAACCATAGAGTCTATTCACCTGAGTCCAGAAGAGTATGAATTTCTCAAGGGAAAAATCATAAGAGACGTGATTGATGGAGGTGACCAATACAAAAAGACAACACCTTGGGTGAGTCTAACAGTTTTTATTACCTTCTTGAATTGCTTGGCTAGAGCAGGGGTGGACAATTTCTGTAAAAGTCCAGGTAGTAAATATTTTAGGCTTTATGGGCATGTGGTGTTTGTTGCAACTTTTATACTCTGCTGTTGTAATTAAAACAGCCATAGACAATACATAAATGAGTGGGTATGAATGTGTTCCAGGTAAATTTTATGCATGAAAACAAGCAGTAGGCTGCATTTGACCTGTTGGCTACAGTTGTCAACCTTTCAGAGAGATTGCTTTAGAATTTCTTAGAATAATTGGATTAAACTATCATCGATTGATGTCAGTTGTATGACATCTGGGCATAATAAGTACACTTAAACTAAAAAGACAGATGCCTTGTTTTTTCTCTGAGAGCTTCCAGAAAACTGTATTCAAGTAAATTCCCATAAAGACATTGTGATTTCTCACAACATTTCTAGTAAAAAGACTTTAGGGTAACTTGACAAAATTATTTACATACTCTCCTATATTGCATTTGATTCTCACTCATTTATAATAACTTTGTTTGCTAATCTTCAGTACTTTATGCTGGTTTACTAAGGTTTAGTTGAAGAGGTAAGCTGTTTTTCTATTGGTTATCCTTGGGGAAAGGCTGCCCATCATCTCACTGAATCTTTTTTCTTCAAGGTACTAAATAAAAATGAGAAGTGAAAATTGTTATGCCTTCTCACCTTGACTTATAATTTTTGGAAAATGTTCTAAGATCATATAAAGACCTTTAATTTCAGAATAATTCCCAAATCTGTTCTATAAAAATAATATCACCATTTTATAGAATTCCTTTTAGCTAATTTTATGATAAAATGACTGTTAACATTTATCAAGTAATGCTAAGTACTTTACATTTATTATGTTGTATCTCATTTTATCCTTGCAACCACCCTATAAAGTACTATTTTTTTATTTCTGTTTTACACATAGAGTGAGTGAGACTTTGGGAGATTAAATCTGCCCAAGAACACCTCATTAATAAACTCTGGGTCTACCTAACCCCAAAACCTTTGTCATTATACTCTACTGCCTCTCTTATAGTGGCAATCCATAGGTTCATAAATGCCTGACAGCCAACTCGTTGTAGCAGTTCTTAATGCATTAGTAATTTCTGCTAGGTAAAATATGATTTAAACAAATTCCCTTTTCTCTCAACAAACATCCAGTGAACACTTATGTGTATCTTCTAAACTAGGTGTTGTGATAAACACATGGTTGTGTAAAATGTGCTGTTTGCTATGAAAAACTTACCATTTCTATTGTGGGCTAATTGAATATTCTTCCTACCCTGCAACTTTTTATTTGACAAAAATTTCAACCTACAGAAAAAATTTACAAAGTAGCAGAAGGTACTATATATTCTTCATCTAGAGTAACTGTTCAGTTATGCCACATTTGCTTTCTATATATATGTGTCTGTTTTTATGAACCATTTAAAGGTAAGTTGTAGACATGATGACACATTACCTTAAATATTTCAGTGTATATCTTCTAAGACTAAGAAAATTCTGTCACTGAATACCATTATCACATTTAAGAAAACTAACATTACTTCAATATTATCTAATAAAAAGTATGTATTCAAATTTTCCCTGTTGTTCCCCCCAAATGTATTTTATTTTATTTTATTTTTTTTTTGAGACAGTGTCTCACTCTTGTTACCCTGAGTAGAGTGCTGTGGCATCAGCCTAGCTCACAGCAACCTCAAACTCCCGGGCTCAAGCAATCTTTCTGCCTCAGCCTCCCGAGTACCTGGGATTACAGGCATGCGCCACTATGCCCGACTAATTTTTTCTATATATATTAGTTGGCTAATTAATTTCTTTCTATTTATAGTAGAGACAGGGTTGGCTCTTACTCAGGCTGGTTTCGAACTCTTGACCTCGAGCAATCCACCCGCCTTGGCCTCCCAGAGTGCTAGGATTACAAGGCGTGAGTCACCACGCCTGGCCTAGCATTGTTATTCTATAAAAATTTTTACTTTTTCCCCTTTCTCCCTCTTTTCATAATTATCAATATGGACACATTTATGATAGGCCCTCTTTTTTATTCACTGTGTTAGACTCCATTATCATCATTATTCTTTTTGATGCTGAAATTGTCCCGGATTTGGCTGTGGGAGCTACTTCAAGCTGGCTTCTGCCTCTTTTTGACAACCCTATCCATACCCAAATCAGTTTTTGACCTCTTCTGTGCTTTCTGGCACAACAAGATGTCCCAGATGCTCACTTGGAAGTGCCCCTGCACCAGTCATGGAATCCCTAATTGAATACTTTTGTTTAACACTCTCAAGGCTAAACATTGCCATAATTCCTTTTTTATGAATGTTAACTTTAATTCTGGATTAATAGAACAAACATTTGTTAATTTTTCTCTGCTGATAGAAACTTAGAACCCAGAGCAAATCTTTCCTCTGTATAGTGTTAGTTTCAGGTTCCAGACAGTAGTGAGAATAGCAAAGAGTAGGCATATATTTACCATAATTCACAAAGCATTTGAATATAGTCCCAGAGGATTGGACATTTTATGGCAATAAATGTCACCTTTTTTCTTTTCTGGTATCTTTCCCCCTTTTCCCTGTAGCTCCCCAATCCTGTGTTCCAATTCTTGTCATCATCCTCCACCTTTAAACTATTAACATGATAATAATGGTCACCATTTATGCAATGATTACCGTATATTATACACCTCTAGGCTTGTTACAGTCACAACACTCAGAAAAATCTTATGAAGATTTCACCATTTGAAAGATGGGGAAGCTCAGGATAAGAGCCTGATGAGAGTGCTGGGAATGCACGTGGCTGAATTGATTCAGGGTTTAGTTTTGCAAGACTGGTGAGGTGAAAGGGACAGGGATGGATCCAGAGCACTTCCAGTGATAGCAATAGAACTGACTCTTTCTGAGTCTAGAGGGAAGAAATTAAGGATAGTGGATAAGTTAAGTGTGTAGGTGGGGCAAAGAATTTAGAGCATTTGTTCAGACCTCTAATTTGTGAGAAAAACAGGAACAAATTGGATACTTGAAGGTAAGAAAAGGTATGGTACACTAAGGGAGCTTGAGAGACTTTTTTAAGTTTTAGAAGTTTTGATTATTAGTGAGAGGATTGGGGAAAATATTGCTAGGTGGTACTGAAGCCCCAGCTGAGGCTGGAGAGCATAAATTTGTAATGGCATGATCTGTTTTGGTGAGCCATTTTCAGCAGTCCTGGGCCATTAAGGTATAAGAACAGAGAAGGCAGATGCATAGGATGATATAGGATTTTACTGGTCTGGTACAGTTGAGGGAAAAGGGAAAATAGGAGTTGAGGATGTGAGAGGGCAGCTCAAGCAATGGGCCATGAGATTAAGGTTGATAAGAAAGAAGTAAAGATAGGTGGGAACTCACAGATTGGGAGATAATAGAGATAAAAGCTGGCTGAGGTTGAAGAGCAAGTATAAAGGGAGTGAGAGTGCCAATCAGGAGGTTTCAATCCCTGTATATTAGAGTTAGGTTTCAGAGATACAGAGTGCTCTGGAGTGATGACAAGGTCCAGGGTATGAGAGTTGAGCAGATACAGAAACTGAGAGCCTAAAGTGCTAGTTGGTCATATAGAGATATTAAGAAGAAGCCAAGTGTGGTGGTTCACGCCTATAATTCCAGCACTTTGAGAGGCCAAGGCAGAAGGATTGCTTGAGGCCAGGAGTTCAAGACCAGCCTGAGCAAGAACAGCACCCTGTCTCTACAAAAAAATAGAAAAATTAGCTGGGCATGGTGTCACACACCCATAGTTCCAGCTATTTGAGAGGCTGAGGCAGGAGGATCTCCTGAGCCCAGAAGGTAGTGAGCTATGATCATGCCACTACATTCCAGCCTGGGCAAAAGAGCTTGTTTCTAAAAAAAAAAAAAAAAAAAAAATTTCATATGGATTTTTTTTTTTTTTTTTGCTTTGTGAGACAGGGTCTCACTCTGCTGCCCAGGCTGCAGTGCGGTGGCACCATCATAGCTCACTCACTGCAGCATCCAACTCTTGGGCTCAGTCTCCCAAGTAGCTGGTACTACAAGGGTGTACCACCATACCTAGCTATTATTATTATTATTATTATTTACTTTTTGTAGAGATGGGGGGTCTCACTGTGTTGCTCAGACTAGTCTTGAACTCCTGGACTCAATCAATCCTCCTGTCTTGGCCTCCCAAAGTGCTGGTGGGATTATAGGCATGAGCCACAGTGCCTGGCCGTATGATAATTTTAATAATAATAACTACAACCACATTTATGGAATGCTTACTCTGGGCTGGGCACTGTGCTTTACCACTTAGGTTGGTAATGAATAGTACGAGTCAGGTGCCAAATTCTCAATAAATGTGAAGGTGCCTGGAACAACATAGATAATAGCAAAATGGAGGGATGTAGAATGGTATATAGATCAGGGGTCAGCAAACTGGCTTGAGAACCAAATCCAGCCCATCACTTGTTTTTGTAAAATAAAGTTTTATTGGAACACAGCCATTCTCATTCATTTATGTATTGTCCATGGCTGCTTTTGTCCTATGGAGTTGAATAAGTACAAAAGAAACCACGTGGCCTGCAAAACCTAAAATATTTACTATTTGGCCCTTTACAGAAAAGATTTGCTGACTTAGATGAGTATCATAAGTCTCAGTTGAGGGGGGAGTGGAGAAGTAGTGAATTTGAAGGAGCAGCAGGATTAGGAGAGGGCCTCTCCTTTCTCAGTCAGTCCTATAGCTAGCTGTGGGCTAATGAGTGCTAGGGAGACATGAAAGTGTTTTAAGCAAGAATATGATATGTATATTTTAGAGAGACCTCTGGCAGCTGGGTGGAAGAAGGAGTTGAAAGGGAAGTCACCGGGCCAGGTGCGGTGGCTCACGCCTGTAATCCTAGTACTCTGGGAGGCCGAGGTGGACGGATCGCTGGAGGTCAGGAGTTCGACACCAGCCTGAGCAAGAGTGAGACCCCGTCTCTACTATAAA